AAGAATGCTGGTTCTGGGAGGGACAGCTGGACTAAGTTATAGCTCCAATCCATGCCTTCTCTCCTTGCTGGTTTCAGTCTTAATGATATATATTATATAGTAGTAGCATCATGGTATAAAAGGTCTCATCAGTATAAGTTTGGAGAAGACAGTGAAGGAAAAAGAGGGAACAAGAAGACAGTGGGGAAGATGGAAAAAAAGGGAATGTGATGTAGGATCACCCAGTGGTATAAGCAAAGCAGACAAACTGCCTTCAGAAATTTGTTGAGAGAATAAGGAGAGCCTGGAAGCATTTTCTTATGGAACATCTGAACATAAGGTTGATCCCATTCTTGGTCTTCCCAGAGGGCTCACCTGAAGCCTGTTATACAACCCCACATAAGAAAACAGGATTTTATAGCTGAAGAAGTCGCTACAGAGACGTTTTCTAAAGTATTCTGAGTTTCTGTTAGCTGCTTACTTTGAAGAACTGACAGGCAACAGAGGCTTTCAGTGAGATAGCCCTTTTTGCCTTAAATCCCTCAACTACCTAGGTCCCGCAAAGGGCCCATAAATGTACATAATCCCATATATATTTACCCTCACCCCTGCTCTTCTGCCACTGCAGCCAGGCAGAGAGAGGAGCAGCTACAAAGTCTTACATTTTCAAACTAGTAATGTATTCTCCCAAACTCCCTCCCAGCTCCTCCTCTTGTGTGTATAACTGCGAGATAGTCCCCTATTTGTACTGTAGAAGTTCAAGATGGAAGTGCTAAACACTTGCCCTCTAATGCTGTACTGTGTGGTCCTAATTGCTGAGCCCAGCTGTGTTGGTGTAATTCACCTTTCCTTATGGAGAGGACTTCAGTAAAATAGTTTTAGCCAAACTACCAAGTTGGATTGAAATGAATTAATTGCCCTGGCTAAAGCTGATTGCCTTTGGCGTTAAACTGAGCAAATGAAATTAGACAGTTATAGTCTGCTACAATGTCAAACCCATCTGTCTTCCTCTCCTTGTGGCACAATCATCACTGTCAGCCTCTGACATCCTGACATCACCACTTAGGCAGAACTGAAACGTGCAAAATCTGATTCTCTCTGGAGCTGGGAACAATGAGCCTGTGCTGGGAGTCAAAGATGCTGCTGTGCACAGAGCTTGACAGGTCAGTACATGTTCTAAATCATGTGTCTGCCAAAGCAGGCAATGCTGCTGAGTGACAGCATCTCTTTAAAGCAAGCAAGAAAATTTGACAGGAAATGAGTCTGGAGTCCCAGCTTAAACTGAGCCCCTTCCTCTTCTTCCCTTCTCCAAAAGACCAGCTGTAATTTATAAGAGAACCACTAGAAATCTGCATTGTGAAAAGCCTGCAGGAGCCTAAGGATTTTGCCATTATTTGCAGTAATCACTATGCTCCCCCTTCTATAGGGAAAAGAAACCATCGTGCAGATAAGACACCTAAAATACTACCACTGGTCTCAAGAAACTCATTTAATCTCTCTCTGGAAGAGTAAAACTGGTACCTGTCAGCCAAGAGCATTCTGCTGAAAGCAGAAGCTAGCAGTTCTACAAAAAGGACATACAGGCACCTCTGACTAGCACTGGGGTTCTCAGGAGTGAATCACCACAATCCTGAGGGCAAATGGGGCATCACTGCTGCATCTCTTCACATTCAGCAGTGTCTCACACCAACTATATAAATGTTTGGGCACAATCCCTTCTCCTTGCATGAAGATAAACAGCAAGTTTAACACAAATGGGTTCTTCACTGATAAGGATGTCACTTCACATATCGCCATGCTGCATAATTTAGAAAAGGAAGTAAACGCAGCAGGGCAATGTAGTAAACAGCTCAGGAAAAGGCATCATTATCTGCACTGTGTGTAGATGTGATACAGATTGATACACTCTGATTAAGAAAAAGCACCACAGGCGCCTTCAAATCCACCAGTGACTTGAATCTATGTGCTATTCAAAGCTCTGAGAATAGTCAGGTAGTTCACTGATCTCAGAACAATGATGTCTGAAAACATTAGAATGACCTCAAACATTACTGCTGGTGTTCCAGAATCTCTCATATGCCCTTTGTAAGATACTTCTTATGAGCATTTTTATGCCTAACTATTCTCAAAGCACTTTTTTTTTCCCCATGATCTTTCTTCTGTGCAACCGTCAGCTCCCCCTTGACCACTCTCAAGTTTTCTCCACAACATCCCATGGCTCCATCCCAGTCTTTCAAATCATACAAAGACCCAAGCCCTCCACATGACAAGCCACTTTCCAACAACTCAGCTGATTCACTCTGAATATTTCAGTGTTGATCTTCCAGCACAACTGCTGTTTTTCAGAGTAACCAGAGCCAAAGACCTTGAAGGAACTGGACTAAAATAAAAGCTAAAGCTGCTCTTTCCCTCTGTGATGAGTCCTTCCAGCTTCACAGAGGCAGCAGTTGTGTAGACTGAGACCATGGAAAGGCATCACAGAAAAACACTCACCTGGAGTGTCCCTCCACAACTGCCTCAGCTGAAAGCAGCTCCCACAGAGACTAAGAAATTAGTCATTTCAAACCCTAGAAAGGAGATTCACTAATCAGTGTCTACCCTATATTACCAGCTAATAGGATGTTGCCTTCTCTTCATTTCTAATAGAATACGGATGTTTTGGCAGCATGACTGTCTTATTTACCTTCCATTTCCCACTGAGTCACATTCAAAAAATGATATGTCTTTATTATGGGCCACTAGAAACAGCAGAAGAGAAACTCAGTGAGAAATTTCATGTTGCCAAGCTCACTGCAAGGTGATCAGTCTACTGGTGCAGAGCAAACCATTTCTTTAGGGTGGTTACAAACCCTCCAATTCAGAGAAACAAAGATCATCTAAAAATCATTTGATTGTGTTAGATCTGAGTTCAAAGAATAGAAGTACTACAACAGTGAATACAAATAGTCACCTTCAGCAGCAAAAGGGAATCTAACTTCATTGAATTTATGCAAACAAGTATATTAGAAAGAAACAGTATGCATGTAAAACAGCGCTCTGAAGGGTGCCTGTGCAAATTTTGAGTTAGCATCTCTTAGCTCAACACTGTCCTGGGCAGCAGAGGGCACTGGTTATAGCGTGGTTTAACCAGGAAAGCAAGGAAGCCTCTGGAGAGGCTGGAACCTGTATTGCAAAAGGTCCTATACCATACTCGAGCACTTTCTTTCTATTTACAAAATAAATTGCTTACAGTTATCTCTTCTCTATGCTGCCAGCAGTGATCAGTTTGCAAGTGGTGAAGTCAGGAACAGCTGGTGCAAACATGTTGACCAAACCTTTGTATTTTCTCAAAGTACAACAATTTTTGCTCTTTTAGAGATAGGTAGGCATGTAGGTAGGTGGGTAAGCAGACAGATAGATAGATCGATATAGATAGACAGATAGATAATTTTTTATCCCTCTTCCTGTACAATCTGAACCTTAAAAAGTCTAAGAGCAACAGTATTTGCGGGGAGAATAATTTTAAAAACTTCTAAATTTTCAGTAAAAATAGCCACTGTTTATACTGTCAACATCTCATATTTCACAGGATCATATAGAGAAGTAAGCAATAACATACACAAGTCTGATTAGGTATCCTTCCAGCATGCAGCCAATGGAGATCCCAATCCCAGTCTGCCCACTTACTCTACCCAGTCTCTGCTTGCCAGGTTTTTCAGCCCTGTCATGGTTTCCTTACCCAGCAAGCTCTAGGTTTTGCCCTCCTGCTCTCCCAGTGTGATCCACTTCATCTGGTTATACCCTGACCCTCAGGTCCTCAACCAATCTCTCTGCTTCACTCCTTTATTTCACCTTTTTTCTGTCAGCTTCAACTTGTAATTCCTGACAATTTCCTCAGCCTACTATTTCCCAGACATATTATTCCTCTCTCTTCCCTCCTGCAGCTCATACCTCAGCATCCTACCATGCCCCAGGCCCCTCACCTTTTGAATTCTCATACAAACCTAGTCTCCCACCCCTCCTCCTAGCCCCAGTGCTCCATTTTACAGCCTTTTCCAACTCTTTGTTTCCTAAAGCGCCCAGGTGTGGGTGAGTTCCTTTTTTTTATAGCAGTTTCCTGGTCCAAAAGTAGACCTTTCCCCCTGCATACTTGAATATTGCCCCCTCTGCTCTTCAATCAAGTAGTTTTCTCACCATGATGCTGGGACCCAGCACAAGCATCACTGAGGTTACAGCAGAAACAGCCTTTATTCACAGTGTCTAGAATTGGACCAGGCAGAGTTTGTAGCTGCAATATCAGAATTGTTTCTCTTAGCTCTGAGCAGGGCACGTGTTCTCTCCATGGGCAGCAGCTCACGGATTTTAGATGCTAAAATCTAAGTCTAACATTTGTGTGTATTACAGAGAGTGGAAAAGGGCCTATTAATTTCTATGGATTTTCATAAGTATGGCAAAGATGAAGCCCTCACAAATTTCAACTCGTATATCAACAGAAACCAAGGCTTCCTAAGGATAGGTTTTCTGTTTTCCTTTAATAGGAATTCAATACTTTTTTCTTAAGCTTAAGAAATTGATGATTGTTTTCAATAAATAAAAAAACAGCGTGTCTGTGGAAGATGGTCACAGTAAATAAAAATGTAGCATCAAAAGGTTCAAAGCACCAAAACGGAAGGATCTCATAACAGGAAGTTCTGCACATTTTTAGTTATTGGCATGGCTGCCAGCCCCAGCAGATATAATGAAGATATTTTGATGAAGGACGTTCAGGAGAACAGATGTGCTCTTGGCCTTTAGGATCTAAAAATATTAGGGATGAGGAGTTCCACTTATCTCCCACTAAAAAGTCAAAACCCAGAAATAAAACTTGCACAGACACACCCATTGTCAAAAACACTGCTAAAAGCCACACATGAACAGAGAGAACCTGAATGAACCTGAAGGATGAAAATACCCTTGACTAGGTATAACATTATTCAAATCTATTACTGGCTTCACACTTCTCCACAAATTTGGTTAGCTCAGATTAAAACAGTGCTTCTTACCTCATCTTGTGGCCTTTCTTGGTGTGAAACTCCCACTGACTGGAAGGGTTTGGGGGATTTTTCATGAATAAGATCTCCTGGACTGCTGCTTCTCTTTTTAGTTTCTGGAAGAGGAGGTCTAATTTCTAAAAGCTGCTGTAAAAGAACATTAAAAAAATGAATTTCAATATCATTTGAAGACAAGCTCTTTGCACAGTTTTATTCTAACGATTGCTTTGGAGTTTAGACACACATTAAAAAATCTTAATACAAATAATTAATCATTTTTCCAAATTCCTATGCCTGAAAATACAATTAATTAATCCCCCAAACCCAACTTAAATGAGATAATTGTAATAAACTAACTATAAACTCACAGCAATTACCACATTTTTAATGCAACCATGGACCAGGTCAGTCAACATTTAGTCTTTTCCAACAGCAGTGCAGTGAATCTGGAAACAGTGTGCAACCACATGAACCCCTTCTTTGCAGCATGTATGCAAGCTCACACCAGCTCTCCTTTGCCCACAGAGAGCTGAACCATGGTTATGCTCTATGTCACCAGAGCACACGGATTAGTTCCAGTGCCTGTGTGCTTGGGAATGCTAAGAAGTCCTGAGACAAAACTGGGCTTTGGTGTGTCAGGGAGCTGCATGACTTCTGTCACCAACAAGAGCACAATGCACTTGTATGGTTCTGGGACAGGATTTTTCACTGATTGCTTGAGTGTATGTGGTTCTAGTAAAACATAAAGTCAGATTCTTTTTCTTCCTCTACAACTAGACAGGAAATTTTTAGGATGAAATACAGGGATTTTGGTCAGAAAACTGATTTGCCATCATGAGATTTAACTGACTTCAATGATATGGAGGAAAGCTTTTTAGGCTCTGTATCAAATGTGTTGTTGATACAGAGAGAAAAACGAAAACCTCCTCCAAACTCCTACCCAGATGGTTAAGATTAGATGGAGCAGGAACTTCTGCTTGAGCCTGAAGCTCCACAGCAGTGTAAAACAATCCAAGGTGGCACTGCCATGTCCTGCCATCCATCTGCATGTCTGCCACCTCCACTATGCTGGCACTCGCTTTGAACTCGCTCCATAGCGAGACAATCCAGACACAACAAAGCTAGTTCTACCAAAAAAAAAAAAAGAATCATTTTCCACCAGTGTAGCTGCCCCAACCTGTTCATCGAGAATGAGATGAGCATGAGTGCTAGCATAGAAGCTGAGGTAGAAATCTGCCTCAGGGAGCCAAGTGAAAACTGGAATTGAGCAGCTAGGTCAGCTTAAACTGCACACAGTCCTATCAGTTGTGGAAGTAGGGAGGAAGAAAGAGGCAGGGCAGCTGTACTGGAGCTATTCTACTTGGCACAGATAGGCTGGTATTAGCTGACCTAAAGTAGTATCTGGTGAATAAGTCATTCACCAGGTTCAAGAACCTTTTCCAGTGACCAGAGAAAGCAGAGCAGCTCCAGGAAGAGAGACTGATCCACCCTGGAACAGGCAGTAACATGTGGGGTGGGAAAGAATGACACAGCCATGACTTGGACCTGGATCTTCCACACCCAGCATGAACATCCCAGCCACAAACCCACTGTGAGAGAATCACTTGGTTGCCCACCTTCATTTTCCATTATGAATGCTGAAAGCTTTCTGGTTTGTCCCCAAAGAGAAAAGAAAGATTTAGAAAATCCTGACAATTTTTGTAGGACAAAAATATCTCCTTCTTGCTAAATATCTGTCACCTCTCTTGGGAGAAAAAGTGTTTCTCAGGCTTATGGACAATGTATCATGTTGATATACTTCCATGTATCAACATGAAGTATGAGCATAAACATGGAAAGGCAGAAAGAGCAACATTTTAGAAAGACCAAGTTACAGTTAAAAAAGAGAAAAGTTCTAAGGGAAGGAAAATTAGACTATTAGTCATTGATTTCTACACAGTGGAACAGATCTCCGACACAAAAATACGAGCTGTGGCCTCCCGTGGCCACAGGAGGCATTTCACTCTCAGCTGGTGCTCTCACCTCTTCGTAGCTTCCAACGTATTTATTACCATCATTACTTTTAGTGATATTTTCGGGTTTTCATCTCAGGCCAAAAGTGAAATTAGTTTGGAAAATGTGAAGTAAAAAGGAAGACAGGCAGGATCAAATTACCAAATTTGGATCAACTTATCAAATTTGGGATCCTGGAAAAATGCTTTCTATTTCTGAATGTTTTTCACACCATGACCTAGATGCTTTTTCTAAAAAGAAATTTCAACTTGCAAGACATTTAACCCTTGGGAGGGAAGAAATGAGAGGGGTGAGAGTCTGTTAAACTCCTAAAGCATACTTCTGATTGTTTTTTTCAGTAGATACACCCAGAAGTTACATTTAGATAAATACTAATTCCAGCAGTGTCAGCAAGAGCTTATGCAGTGACTTCCTTTTGCAAACTAGGGAGAACTCCCCACTGCTCTTGGTCCTTCCCTTCAGAAAATAGTAAACAGCCACCATGCTTTTCCAGAACTCAAGATAAGGAGGCTCCACTTCTCTAAGAAACAAGCTTTTTAGCATCCCACCCACTTACTGAAACCCTTGACAACATTTTTGCCCTGGCAGCAAGCCACCAAAAGTGACGTCAGTCACTAGGCAGAGCTTCAGATAGTCTGTGGTGCTTTATCTTTTCCACAATGCACCTCTGTCTCCTCAAACCCCCTATAGCCCCTGTGTTTAATGTCTGATAACTCACATTCATCTCATACTGACCATCTACCTGGTGACAATCTTCCCAATGCAGCCCCAGCTGTCGTGCTCTCTTCCTACTCCTCTCAAGTGCAAAAGGCTGTCTACAGCTACAGCTCTCAACCTCATTCTGATTTTTCCTATCCGTTGTTTGGCCCTTCCGATGTCTCAGTGTGGGGCTGGACCTGGGCTGGACTGACAGTTTTCTCTGAGTCTTCACCATTTCTAGCTGTTTTTCTTTGCTGTTCTGCCTCTTAATGACTTAAGGACTGAGGTCTCTGCTGTGTCAGATCAAGATCTAGTTCACATAAGCTGACGGAGTTTTTCTGAATGTACAGTCATGTACCGATTGGAAGCTATCCTGATGTACTATTTAGCAAATACAATATAAAAATGACAAAAAAAGGAAAGCATATTACACACAGAGACCAACACACAGGTTTTGTATTGGTGCATAAATTATGTTACCAAGAACAGAAAGAAACACAGTTATTTATGCGACAGGGAGCAAGAGAACACGGGGGATAGCTGAGCGATTTCTGGCTGTTAACTCCTCAATTGCAACGTGGTGCAGATGACGGTTTTTTTTCAGCTGAGGGTTACTAACGTGTAGGGAAGAGCTGCACCCAACCTGTCCACAAGCACTCAAACTGATCCAAGGGTGTAACCGTAGTCTGGAGCTCAAGAGGATTTACCCCTGAGGCGGAAAAACAATTACCTGAACGAAGACAGATACAGATCATTGAGTACTGAGATGCTTACTACTTAAACGAGACAATATATCCTTATGGAAGTAGCAACGCTAAGGAAGGGGAGACGGGGGAGATGACTGAGCGGGTGCAAAGCCCTGCCGGAGGAGGAGAGCGGTCACTCCTGTGGGGTAACCAGGGGTGCAGTTCCCAGCCGGAGGGATTAGACTGAGTTCCCCAGTTACATTCCTCCATCTCGGGGTTTCAGTCCTGGAGAAGAAAAGCACCATATGCACCAGATCTGGAAGCAGTTCAGGAGAGACCCCATCTCCTACTCCTTTTTCTCCCTCAAAGCCGGTGCACATAGGCAGAGAGGTGCAGAGGATGGGGAGCAGCGCTATGTCCTGGGTCAGAGGGAGGAGAACCCCCCCTCCCGCTGTGGGGTGGCTGTGCATGGAGCAGAGGGGGCTGAGGCCCGGACTGGTGCATAGGGTGGGATGGCGGGTGTAGGTGCTTGCTGGGGGAGGGTGCCTTGCTGGGGAGGGAGGGAGATGGAGAAGGGGCTTCCCTGCGTCTGAAGAAGAAGCCTCTCTTCAGGAGAGCAGGGGGGATGGAGGTAGGGGTGCCCGTGAAGGTGGGGGGGCCCTGGGGCAGGCATCACCGCCTTTTGGGGGGGCCCTTGGGGAGGAGGGAGTGAGCCTCCCGGTGGAGGAGGGACCTGCGTTGGAGCGCTGGAAGGGAGAGGTGGGGGGCTGAGAAGGTCTCTGCGGGCAGCGGTGCCGAGCATGGGGCTGCGGGGGGTCGGGGCCTCTGAGACGGGGAGATCCTGAGGGGCTTGGAAAGGATTTTTGAGGCTCGGAACCTGAGGGGCTGTGGGAAGCCTGAGGGATCGAGTGGGAGCTCCGATGGCTGAGTTTGGGGGGGCTCCGGAGGGGCTGCAGGGAGCTCTGAGAGAGCTGGGTTAAAGAACTCTAACGGGCTCGGAGAGGTCTCGGACTTGGGGAAGGCAGAGGGGGCTCTGCAGGGATGTGGCAAGAGCTCTCGGAGGAGATCTAGGAACGCAGAGAGGGGCTGCAAGGGGCTATGGCGTTCTGAGTGGTTGTGGGAGCCCGACGGGAGGCTCCGAGGGGATTTTGAGAGGTCTGTGTGCAGAGAATCTATGGGAATACCTGAGGAAGGTCTGAGGTAGCTCTGTGGCGATTTAGGGGGAGAGCCCCATGGTGGTTCTGAGGAGGCTTGGGAAGGCTCTGAGGGGATCTGGGTGGAGAGACCCTGGGACGCCTGATGGGGGGGGGTCTGAGGGGAGGCTCTGAGAGAATTTGAGGCTGCTCTTAGGAGGTTTCGGGGGGAGCGTCTGCGGAGAGGGTCCGAGGGGACCGGGGATGCTCTGAGGGGATCCGGGGGGCTCAGAGGGTCTCGGGGTGCTGCGGGGGCGCCCCGGGGGAGGCCGCAGCTCCCCTCTCCCTCCCGCGCAGGCTGCTGCCTTCCTACCCCCGTTACCGTGGCAACCGCCCGGGCTCCCCCAGCCCCGCGCCGCTGCCGCCGCCGGAGCTGCTCGGCAGCCACCTGCCGCCGCCGGCCATGGAGCTGCTGGCCGCGGCCCTCAGCGCCGCCTGCGCCCTCGACCAGGACGGCTCTGCGGGACAGCCCGGCAGGTGAGCGGGGGGGCGGGACTGAGGGGCATGGAGGGGTGCGAGGGGCCAAGGCCGGGAGCGGGGAGCCCCGCTGCTGCCCCTGAGGGTGGGTGCCTTTGCCTCCCACAGGGAGCCCCCCGCGGCCGCTGAGGAGAGCCCCGCCGCAGCCACGGCGCCGCCTGCCCACCCCATGACGGCCGACTCTTGGAGAAACCTCATCGAGCACATCGGTAAGGAGCCGTCCAGCGGCGGTCCCGGCCGGGGCGTGCGGCCAACTGCGCTCTCCAATTTCGCCGCTTTGCCCGCTGCCCGCGCTGGCGGCAGCACAGCAGCCCCTAGAGGTGCTGCCGCGGCGGGTCGGGACCCTCACCCGCTCCGAGCCGCCGTGTCCCATCCCCTTTAAACACCCCCAAAGCCTCAGAGTTTAGCGAGTGGGACCTAGGTCTGAACCCGAGCGGTACGTGGCAGGAGGCAGCCCCAGGCAGGGGTAGGGCGACTGTGTTGTGGGAACCGAACTCTCTCTCCCTGGTCCCTCACTGTTGGCGTAAGACATCATGACCATCGCCTTACCGGTGACTCTTTGCTGTCTTTAGGAGCAGCAGGCTCGCACGCTGCCTGACATGAGATCTTATGCTGTCGCTGAGCAACTTTACCCCATCCATAAATAATGATTACTTTTTGTAATTACGTAGTCTTTAATTGTTAAGGCTATAGCCAACTTTCTGCTGAAATCTTATTCTGCCTACTCAAAAAGGTGTAAGTCTAAAGCACAGTATCAACAATCATGTTGGACATTAGTTGTATACACTAAGGTAGCATTTGCAGCAGAGGAGTAAGTCATTTTACCATTTGCAGTCTCTTTATAAAAGGAGAGTGGCGGGTGTCAGGTGGCAGTGGAGGAAAGGATGGTTATGATTTTGCTCTTGTGGTATCTCTGAATTCATTTTTTTTCTTGTGGGATGTGGAGAGGACTTTCACAGCTTGTTTCTTGGTTTCCCATATGGTATTGTGAGATTCCCCAGAGAGATTTGGGCAACTGCAAAGTGAAACCCTATCCTGAGGCAGGTTTTATGGTGGGAATAGAGAAGCTTCATTTTTAAACAGTTCTGATCAATTTCAGGAAATTAAATTGCAAGATGCTTGAATCTAGAGGGCAGGAATGCAGCACTTTATGTGGGGAAATCAGGTAGATAAATCTCATGAGCAGTTAGGTGAGCCTCTCTGCCAGGAACAAAGAGGATCCTCATGCAGTCTCTGCAGTTTGATGTCAGGTCATGGCAGGCAGGGCTCATTCCTGGAGCACCTGATGCCAGTGGGACAGTGCTGGGGAAAGGAGCTGGTGTGAAACCAGAAGCCTGACAGTGTCAAGACCAAAGAGCCGAGTTCAGCAGGCCTTCTGGAGGAAAGTGGTGAGCAATTTACGTAAGTGTTGCCAGATCTGTTGCTTCCTTGTGGCTGTGTAAGTACTAATCTCCCAAGGCAGATGTGGCATATGTTGTCAGTTAATTAAGAGGCATGGTAAAAATACTTAAGCCAGCAGGACTTCAAATCTATCCAGTTGCTATATTCATGTATATTTTTATGTGGTGTGTATCAGAGGGATGCCTGCCGTGTTATAGATCTGCACTTGTCAGTGCAACTGCAAGTAGGTCTGTTGCACCTTGGTGGAGGAGATGGGGTTTGCTATGCTAATGCCCAGAAGAGGTGTCATTTCAAATGGCTGGAGCACACTCTCTCCCTTCCCTCTCTCTTGCTTTTGAGACATTAATGGGCTTTTTGCTTGAAACTGGAGCAGAGAATTTCAGAGAAAACGTCTCTGGACCTCCTGAGATTTTACATGGGTTTCAATGTAATAGCACTCACTTTAAGAGCACTGCGAACTCTCTAAGGCAGGCATTTCCACATTTAGTAACTAGTTTGTCAATTTTCCTCACAGTTTTTGAGAGAGCTGGGAAGGGAGACTGTGACAGCTAAATTAAATGGAATAAACACAAACAGAGAGTCTGTTATGTACTGTACAAACTATGTAAACACCCCTTAGGAAGATCAGCCTTAACCACTTATGTCAACAGGCGACACCAAACCTGTGCTCTGACCACATAGCTAACCTCTACCCAGGTTACAGTAGGGATAGTTGGGGCATTAAGCAATTAATGGAACTTTTACACGTCTCTGACATTTTGCACTTGTTCACTTACTAAATGTAAGCATTTACTAAATCATTGGAGCTTCTGAGTCACATTCAGCTACTGATCTCAGCTTCATTCTACACATTGTCAGTTCCCAGATGTATTGCTCTCCTTTCAACAAGTCAAAACCCTGTTCCCTGACCTTGCATCTGTTATGCCACCCATCTTGTGCCACGACCATCTCCTGCTTCATCTAGTATAGACTTTTGCATGGCTTCTCTCCTTCTCTTTCTCATCTGAGCCTTTGCTTCTACCCATTGTATCCTCTTTACCAACACATGGATGGACCTTTTACCCCAAGACAGCAAGATATCTTTTATCCTTGCTAGTACAACCCTCCTCGTTTCTGCCTACCCTTCTTCTGCCTAAACACGTACCTGTCTTTCATCTTTCTGCTGGGTATCAGCTTTCTTCTTCCTCCCCATATGCCTGTGGTAGAGCTTCAGCTAATATCTCATCAGCTCCCCCATAAATGAGTTACCTTGCTGTCATTTCCAAACGAGTTCTGGTGGTAGATGCCTTTAGTCACATGTCCATATTTGCCTTTGCCTGCCACTGAAGGCTCCATAGGTCTTATCTGTTTGATTGGCCAGACAGGGAACCTGGAAGGAAAATCAAGTTTCATCACCTGGATTTTATTTCCTTAAAAGCAAGGGGAGGTTTGTCTTGAGGATCTTTTTTGAAGGGCTGCTTTACAGATCTGCACAAGGGACATTAAATCCCCCTTACACAAAATATCCTTAGCTGCCTCTGACTTGAAGGGCAGACCCACCAGCACAACATGTCTGCGCAGTCAGACAGTGCAAGTATAATTATCTCCAATATGAGTAAAATAGATTATGATTCAGTTTCCCAGTATGCCTTCCCTTGAGTAAAGCACTGCCCATACTGCTGCAGGGTGGTACTTCCCAGCCTGTCCTGCTGTCTAGTGTGAAGAAGGCATTCGGTGCCCTACCACACAAAAGCCTTCAAGCACAGGCTGAACTTAAAGACAGATAAGTGCCACCAAAAGCAGGTCTGATTCAGCAGGCTCTTCACTCTGTTCCCAAAGGAGCCTTTCCACCCCTCTACATCCTTGGTACCCTCACGGATGCTGAATAACAGGCAGAAATGCTTTGGAAAACCATACAAGCCTAGTTGACACAGAGAGAAATTATGTAAGTAGCAGCAGCATGCAGAACTTGGGGGGAACTCTCCTCTCTCTGGTTATCATGTAGGAAGCTAACAGAAGCCTGTATGGTTTCCTAGGCACAGCTACCCTTATTGCTATTTTAATCTGGTGTTGAACATCTTTCCAGGCAGAACAGATAACAGGATGCACTCATGGGCTGTGGGAACGATGTCCCTGTGCCTGTGCTTTTCCCTAGGCATACCTCTG